CCATCTTTCCCTCTCGCGCTCCCTCTCGCGCTCTTCCCCTCTCGCGCTCTCTCTCTCGCGCTCTCTCTCCCTCCCTCGCACTCTCTCTCCCTCTCTCGCGCTCTCTCTCTCTCTCTCTCTCTCGTTCTGTCTCTCCTCATCTTTCTCTTTTTCTCACTGCCACAATTCCGAAACAAACAGTTAAAATACCCAAAACCGTTGACTTTAATATCACAGTTACATTAATTACTGTTACCAGCGTACTTGTAACAGAATCGAACAACCGGCATGCATCGCGCAGACGAAAAACCGAAATTATATTTGCTGGAGAGTTTTGCAGGAAACGGCGAATTTCTCTATAACGCGTATGCTAATCTTTGCGTCAACAAACGCGATGACTGGGGGAATTACCGGTTGTCTGGTAATTTCAAATGTATACGTTTTGCTGTACCAAGAGAGACATGATGTCCCGGTAATGACATTCACCTCTTAATTAGCAATGTAATGGAAAACAATTTTATCCGGGAATTTGATTGGTCGGGGTATTACATATTCTATCCCGTAATGGAATAATGATTTTACGACTGCTAAGAGATATAATCTTGACACGCTGATTTTAATAATTGATTTTCGAGAAACCGTGATATAGGTCGATATCATATTTAGCGCATTGTTTTGCATAACGCAGCTGTGAAACATGTTCTATTTTATCGATACACCGAAATATGCATGAATTTGCAATTTGTATATTTAATAATATATATATTATTATTATTATTATTATTATTATTATATATATATTATATAGTATAATAATATATATATATTATTATTATTATTATTATACATTATTTGTATATTTAATAATATATAATAATATAATAAATGAATGAATTAAATTACTTGAAACAAGAAATGATATATCATAGGATAAAATAGAAGAAAATAACGAACAAAGAGAAGAACTTCTACAAAATAAATATGTAATTAACAATATTAGTAAATTCTGAACTGTCATTACGTATATATAAACTGTTGCGCCGTTTATTTAAACATGCATTCGGGGGAAAAAGAAATTTGAAGTTCACGATCAAGATCAATTCCACGATACGCTTCTTAAAAGCAGATTTCTCTACCGATTCGATAATATTAAATAATCCGTGTGAAAGATCGTGCATAACCGTTGTAATTGTTGGCGCGAGTTTTTTTTTTCTCAGGTTATTACTTAACCGAGAACCGCGTTAAGCCTATCCTTCACGTGCAATTTCTCCTTGCCATAGCCTAATACCTTCAATGGTAATTTCGCAGCGAAGAATTCAGCGGTGAATTTTCAGTTACAACAATTCCATTACGGAATGGAATTTCTAACGTTGCCGCATTAAAGCGTCAGGCTCCAATGCCTTACGAAACGAATTCATTGGCTAGAATGTGTTTACGCGTCTGTATCTCCTTGAATAAAGAACAGTGTTGAATTCTCGTACATTGTTTATTACATCGTACACAATGGTTTAACGTTTCGACACTCGATCGGGGATCTTATGGATCATGCACAACGGTCAAACGGTACTCAATCTAGACGACCGACGATAGGTCGCATCGAGGACGATCGTAGGAGATCAGAATGTTTCTTTTTTCTAAATTAACGCTGTTCCTGCGTCATACTTCTGACGTAACAGACGCGTGCTTTCGATCATATGATTCAGTGATCTAATTCAAAATGAATTGCGTTGCACGTCTGTGTGTGTGTGTGTGTTCCGATTCTTGCAATCCGGGTTTGATATGTCGCGGCCAATGTCTCCCTAAATGACGCTCAGATTGCGCAGAAAAATGGACAATTTGGGAAGAGGAGATACGATTATTCGAGCCTTGTAGCCCGTTTTTATAATTGTTGTGAATCAACGACCATAAAAACGACCCTAAAAGCTCGAAAATATTCGTATCTCCTTTTCCCAAATTGTCCATTTTCGTGGACAATCTGAGCGTCAATTAGAGAGACATTACTGTACAGTAAATTCTCCCTGACTCGCGCTGAGATTGCGCACAAAAATTGTTGAGCAATATTAAAATTTGTTGCAGCAATTGCAAGACACGGGAGGTCTAGAAATATTAATAAACAGGCTGGTAATTGAACTCGATAATCGTGTGGTATTCTAATTAGGTAAAGGACTCTTCAAAAAAATTGCAATTACTATTTTGTAATGTATGGCAATAAAAAAGGCCTTTTATCTCGTATCTCTGTCTATCGCAAGCTAATAATAACCTTAGCATAACCTAATATATTTTTTAAAACTGGACCAAATGACTCGAATTTTTGTTTAAATGTTAAAGGTTGGAATTACAACAGCTTTTTCCAATTTTGCTGTTACAGTAAATTCTCCCTAATTGGCGCTCAGATCGTACACGAAGAAACATTCGAGGCTCATTTTTATAGTTGCCGATTATTATAGCCGCAGCTAACTATAAGGCTCGAATAATCGTATCTCCGCTTCCCAAATTGTCCATTTTCGTGGACAATCCGAGCGTCAATTAGAGAGACATTACTGTATCGTAGCGACTTAGGGTAAACTATACAAATTTTGTTAACCGAAGAAATTCGTTTCCTTATGCCTGAAAAATGCAAATTAATTTTCTATCTGATTGAAAAAGTCTCATCTACGATAACGGAATGTGCAAGATTTATTCATTGTTAAACATTTCCAAGAATGTCAAATTTTATTTTCGTGCGTGCATTATTTAGATCTACATATATAGGAACAAACTTTTTCATTGATACCCTCGTTCGCGTCTGTTGAATGGAGTCCTGGTAACCCAGAGCATGCTGATGAATGTAAACAGAGTAATATAAACTACTGCGGCAAGCTTTCTGTTTGCCGTTGGTCGCAGAAATACGAAACTACCTGAAGAAACGATCGAATCTCTCGCGTGGTATAATTCAATGGTAATTTCTACCGTTCGTGAATTAGAAAAATAAATCGGAACATATTTTTACTGGAATTGTAAAATGTGACGAAATAATCTAGCAAGTATTCGTCAAAAATGTATTTTGATTCACTTGGTTGAAGGTAAATCTTTATCTCTGAAATAAACATTAAGCAGTAATTAAATAAATATTGGATCGACTAAAGTTTCTCTTATACTTTTTATCGAATTGATTCGGATCGCGTCGATTATAGTATCTATTCCTTGTGTCATAATGCAAACATGACATACTAAAGAACGCGGAATACGTTTTAGCTAAGCTGGCCCATGTTTCGCAAATTTGACTGTATTAGAAATATAGCCGCACCGAAAAGCGATAGTTGAGAACCACTGTGTCCGGTGTTAAAGTGGCGGTAAACGCGCCAATGTCCTCTGAGGAATTAATGAATACTATATACATATATGTGCATTTGTACACAATTGAACACGCATTCTCAAAAACATTTTCAGACAGTAATAACAAAAAAGAATTTCGTACACGTTTAAACAAAAATTATCGCATTCTCCAAAGTCTGCAAAATAATTGCACCCCTTTCGTTCAACTAAATAAACCAGCAGAAGCAGCCTTGTGGTTGAGAACTCGCGCTTCCGGTTATTAAACTGCGATCAACGACGAGCAATTTATCAAACGGAAGTCGGGAAAGAATCTAATGTCTTTTCGTGCATCGGTGTGAAAATTAGAAAAAAAAATAGCGATAAAACGAGAAGGACAAATTTTAACACGATTGTTTCAATATCAAACGTGGCCGGTTGGTCGAGCGGCATTCTCACGTCATTTGTCACGTGTCCTTGGCGGACAACTTCAAAGAAAGGGACACGAACTATTCCATTCGGCCCGTCGCCATAGGCTTTTCGAACGGCGCTGAACAAACGACGCGCGTTTTACCGCTCGCGGTGACGACAAAATGTTAGAAAAACATAGAGGCAAAGTTCACTTAAAATCGTTTGAAAACGTGTGTGCACCGATAAGAGAATCGCAGGAGAAAAAGAAGTTTGTCGATTGTTCGAATCGTTCTCCTATGTTTGCCGCTAGATTACCGCATATCTAAATGATTCTCTTTACCATGCCCGGCCGAGAGGCGGCGACTCATTGACCCCCACGGGCAACAATTATCTAGGTGACGCGCGCGTGTCAAGAAATTTTCCTTTTCGTACGAACGAATAAGTGCGAGGGAAATCAAGCGTGCCGTAACCGGCATTTACAATGTACGATTTTACATCATACATCGCAACCTTTAACACGTTTCTGCGAGTTACTTTCACTTTACATAACCTGCTTTGTGTGCCGCGGACACACGTTCGGTAATCGGCTAACGGTCGCGTTATTAACGATTATCTAAAAAAAAAAAAAAACAACAACAAAACTAAACATCCGTTCATTCTTGCAATCGCAACTATCTCGTTTACGTCACGAACAGAGATTAAAGACACAGCGCTCTACTGGAAATTTTTATTCTCGCCTGACGACGTCCGCGCGCCGTTGTTTTCGTCGAAGATCATCCGGGCCCGGCCGTCGCTCGACGTAAAAATCAAACCCCGATCGAACGATAAATAAATAAATAAATAAATAAATGAAATTTGGAACACTATTTCGCTAACAGTCGTCGCCGTTCGAAAGCAACGGAACGCTGCCACGGAGTGGTGGGGAGGAGGAGGAGAGGGGAAGGCGAGGGGCACAGTAATTGACGACAATGCGTCGTTTCCCTCCCGTCGGCGATACTCTACGAGACAAAACGAGTCGCCTGTGTACGCGCACTTGAACCGTGACAGCTGTCAAAAGTAGCGAGGCAGCGTCCAGCACGCAAACGCAGAGGCGGCGACGGAGCCACCATTCAACGGAGCAGGATGGAAAAAGGACGAGAGAAAAGGAGGAATAGAAAGGGAAGAGACCGAAGGGAGGTGGACGATCCGCGTAAACACGCAAGGCTTACGCCGTTACGAGCGAGAGGGAAGCGACTTTTGTCCAGGATAAAGAAAGAGAGGGGAAAAGAAGGTTAGAACCGCACGGTGAATTCCGAGTGCGACGGCGCGGCGGTGGATACCTGTCAGCGTGCATTCCACGGTCCCACAGCGTGCTCTCGCCTCGTCCGTTTACCACCGTCTCTAGGATTTTCGCCTGCTCGATGGCACGATCCGCGCACCGTAAACACTTTACCGCGGGCACACACCGCGTCGGACCCCGGGGTACGGTATTTAAACGCGCACACCACACTCGGCCGATCCTCCGGACCGTCAAAAAAAAACCGTATCACTTGCCACGGTAGCCGGTGAATCGCGTGCTGCTCGCGGCGCGAACATGGCGCACGATTCTCGGGCGGTTCACCATCGGGGGAAAGCACAGGCCGGGTAACGAACTGCCGGACGCGGAACGGGGGCCCTCGACCGATGAAATAGAAACCCGCGAGAAACGGCACGAACAATGGAACGTGACTTAAGGACACCGGAGAGCGCGAGATCCAGCTTTACACCGCGGGGTAAATACTAGAACAAAACTCGCCGCTTTCGCCCGCGGTGCGCGGCCGTGCTGGCCAATCCCCACCCGCGCACAGCCGCCACGTGGTACACCGTCCGGCCAATCGGAGGCTGGTTACGCGGGCCCCCTCCTCGGACGCGTCCGCGAAGCCGGCTCGCTACCGATCAGTTTCTTCTCTTCGCCTCTTGTACCGATTTAACATTTGGACGTCACAAAGAAACGCGGAGGGTCCGTTGTCCTTTTGCCGATACTCCTCAAATGGTTTCTACCGCCCTTTCTCTTTCTCCGGCGACGGGAACGCCGCCGTCGCCGTCGTCGTCGTTGTGGTCGTCGTTCCGTCGGACACTCTCGTCGAGTCCCGCGTGCATGACTCGCATAGGAAGATTGCGGTAGGATTAAATGGAATACCGACTAAAATATCTTTGCGCCAAGGAGTATACGCACGCCGAAAGAAACTCGCCGGTTTCGCCCGCAGCGTTCGCGGACAACTTGCCAATCTCCTAGCCGCAGCACCGTTCGTAGGTACGTAATATTGCACCTGGTACTCTTCTATGCGCGTACGTCCAACAGATTCACCCGTGATCGGTCAATTCTCTCGCGCGTCGTGACCCTCTCTCGCGACCGTCGTTTCGCGTTTATCTCGCATCGATGCCGAGGGAGACCCGCAACAGCATTCGCGCTTCCGCTCCGCCGTTGTCTCTCGTCGCTCTCCTTCGAAGAAGTGCCGTCTCTTGTCCGAATCGTTCCGTCGTTATCTCGAGGTAACGCTTTCGTGGCCTTTCGCCCGTGCACGCCACCACTGTGTGCGCATCGCTTGCACACAGGATTCTTCGTGTACACGGCGGGCGTGCGAGCCTCGCTCGAACGATAACCACGCGCGTTGTCTCGATCCACGACCAATACAATCGGCTTAATTGATACGTCCGTCGATTTGTTCGAAGAGCACAGTCTGAACGAGAAGATTGCTCGCGCGCGCTTGTCTTACGAACCGGCTCGAGCCGGCCGAAATAAACGCTCTATGTTCGCTGGCCGACGTTTTTCTAAGTCGCGAAACGGATTTTCTTCTGCTGCTTGTGCAAAAATACATTATTTCATTCGATTTTCCGGATTAACGATATCATAGGAAAGAAAATAAAATGACGTTATCGCCGACGGCTGTGAGGCACGTGCCGATGATTAGTCACGATACCGTCGGGTAATTGAGTCGTTCTACCGGGTCGCCGATAGCTAAATAAAATCAAATAAAATAATATCGTGTGAAAAGCAATATACAGGGTGTCCCAAAAATGTCTCGTAATCGGGAAATGGAGGGTTCCTGAGATCATTCGAAGCAACTTTCTCCTTGGCGAAAATACAAACCGCCGCTTTGTTCGCGAGTTATCGACGAAAAATAAGTGACCAATGAGAGGCGAGCTGTGCTGGCGCGAGACGGCCGAGTCAGTGAGCGGATTGGGCTTCGCGGGCTCGTTGGCTCGGCCGCTTCGCGTCGGCTTCTTATTGGTCGGCGTTTTTCGTTAATAACTCGTAAACGAAGCCTCGGTTTGCATTTCCGCCAAGGAAAAAGTTACTTCAAATAACCTAAGGAATCCACCATTTCCGAGACATTTTTGGGACACCCTGTATTATATGTATACCTTGCGAAGGTTTTGCGATTCAATCGCCAAGATAAACGTTTCTCGATTGAACTGGGCTGTGGCGAAACCCTCGGTTGATCCTTCGGTCATGTTTTACGCAAGATTTGGAACGTCGACACCGTTCCCGACGAATTTCTAACGGGCGATCGCTCTCCCGGGAGCGATAGATCGATTCGATACCGCGGTCCGACCGCCGAAAACAAACGAGCGACTGGGCTCTCTCTCTCTCTCTCTCTCTCTCTCTCTCTCTCTNTCTCTCTCTCTCTCTCTCTCTCTCTCTCTCTCTCTCTCTCTCTCTCTCTCTCTCTCTCTCTCTCTCTGGATTCGACTCGCTCGGAATCGCCAGAATCCGTCCGTGCGCTTTTCTGTACGCGGCCAAGTCTGTAACGGGCCCACTATGCTGCTGCCGCTGTGGAATTAGTTTCTTTTTTTGAGGCAGGTCACTGACACCGAACGGCGATGGATTGACGACGCCGGGGTCAAGTTCTACGTGCGCCGTCGACACCGCTCCGCGTTTAAAGGTATCGCCGGGCATTCCTTGCGGGATATCGCGTTACTTACTTACGGCACCGTGATCAATCGGCCCCGAACTCGGTGTCTTCGGGTATGTAACGAACGACGAGAGTCGTAAATATCGTCGCGGACGGCGCGAATGGCGATCAAACGAGAAATTATGGGAAAACGACGGACACAAGTGTTCCCCGTGCTCCGTTCCTCTTTGCTCCTATCCCATTTGCTCCGAAGCGTCAA